TTTTTATAGTTTCTTAAAGTATTTCACTTGACCACAATGTTATTTTATAGAAATTTTGCACAGTTTGGTGAGAAAACCAGGCGTATCCATTGGAAAACCTGATTACGCACTACTATATACTAGGAAGGTCACTGGTGGTCTCAGATAAGCAAGATCCTGTCCTAGTGCTAGCAAGGCTCAAGGTCATTATTTACTGATTCCTATTTATCATTCTTGCTAAACATTCTAGCAATTTCCAACATTGTTTATCTTTAAAGGTTTATTAGAATGAGCTAACCGAAACTCAAAAGTCTGTAGTGTTTCTTCTGATTATGTTAATTATTTTTCTCTAATGTGCGAAACATAAGTAATGTTGAGAGGTTATGAAAGATTGCTTGTGTATTGACAACTAAACTTTAATATTTGTCTAGGTTACATGAGCAAAATTGTTAGGATGATGATGATAGGATGATTAATACCATAACAATATATTTAGCTTGGGTTATTTGAGTATTCTAGTTATTAATACATAATTATTTTATGAAAGCAATTTAATTTATTTTGTCTTAATTTAGAGATTTTAACACTTTCAAATATTTAACTGGCTTAATTTAATTTATGACAAATTTATAAACAATCATAACCTTAAAACCCTTAATTCATTTAATATTTACACACTCAAACATGAAGGAAAAGATTTATTAAAAAAATATCTATTTAAACCTAGGATAATTTATTTTAAACAGTTCAAAAGCAACCAATGATTGTTAGTATCCATAGTTCTTACAATTAATAAGTATACTCACCAACATTGATGATAATTTCTTTCATTGAGTCTTATAACTCAGTAGACATGTGTGACTGACTGGTGGGCTTGCAAACTCCCCCCTTCCCCCTCCTATTCTCAGGTGAAAGGAGTGAGGCTAAGTCAAGGCATCCAGTTATCCAGTCCAGTATAACCAGAGCAGTGAAAGTATGTGCCTGTGGAGTTTCTAAATTACAGTTCTATTATGATTAGACCTACATTATTGGGTCTCTTTAGTTCACATTTGCAACTTTTCTGTTGATGTGTGACTATCAGGCTATAAATTTGTATTATCTTTGTATTGTAGGTAGTGCTATATGATAAGACAGTCAGTTTTAAGGTTATAACTTTGATAATATTTTGATATTCAAGTTTAACACTTTCAAGTGTGTGAATAAGTATGTAATTTGCATCTGTTTAATTTTGCTATTTTCACTTTTATAAAGGGAAAAGGTTTTGAATGTATAATCATTAGTTTAGTATTAAGTGGATAAAAACAATCTAAAATGATAAACTTTGACAAATTTTTCAACTTGCTTGTTTAAATACTGGGTAACCTTAAATATAATACTATTTGTGCCCTAAAAAATTTCCTTGATGTTCGTTACAATAAAAACAATTGATTTCATATAAAAAAGCGTTTTTAAAGAAATAGTAATTTTTAACTTGTAGAAATACAACACTCAATATTGCAATTAATTATTTTTAAATTTAACCTGTTACAATATGAAACAAAATAGTTTTCATCGTACAATCAACCAAGATGAGTATATTCTGTAATAATGTAACTCATTCAACCTATAAAACTTTATAAGAGGTGTATAATTATTTTAAAATCTCTGAACTATTATCTTGTTTGTAGTGAACATTTTATAAAGAAAAGAGTTTTATGATCTACTCTTAGTATTATTGTTTTATTATTTTAGTTGATATTTTTCACAAAATTAAATAAAAAAAACTATATGCCATGCAAATAAACAACTAGTGTGGTGAGATTATTTGGAGATGGGATTTTCAAAAGTGTTGTGCGACAAGAGTTTGTGACATCTATAAATCTTAAAACTTATTATTGTGTTTAAAAAATGAATAGATCAATGATCAAGTGGTCTGCTTTGAAACAGAGGTAAGCATACAATTTGACCAATCAACAAAACCTACAGATATTCAGTGACTATATATAAATATTATTTGCATTTTTGATTTAAAATTTTCTAAATTGATAAGTAAATAACTGTCTCTAAAAAACCTTATAATTTTGCAAATTCATCAAATAACTGTGTTTATTCACCGTAGTGTGATGTTTGATCAACCTGGTTGTATCAACCTTACTTTAAGGTAAACATGAAATCAGATAATGCTCTTTGTTTTCAATATTTTATTAATCACACTAGTTTTGTTCTGTTCATGGTGTAAGAACGTTTTAGTTTCATACCATTCTTTGTATGAAAGATTTAAGTTGAATAATACTAAGTGAATATAAAAATCATATACCTTGTTACAATAACACGCATTTGTTACGTTACTGTTCAGTTGGATTTTGCTTGATAGTAAAATATAGAGTAATTCTTTTGAATGTCAATTAAAATTTTTTTAAGTAGGTCATGTTAAAAAATATTGATCGGTCAACATGTTAACTGTAAAAGCATAAATTTAATACAAAAATAAAATTAGATGAAACAATACTTGGGTCGTTGATAAAGTTGATTGTAGTTACATAATTGTATTTACTCACACATTTATTACAAGCATCTTTAAATATCAATGAAGGAGGGGATATTTTCTGAGTGTGGATTCCCGATAAGTATTGACATTGAGATTATATCAGTTAACCTAAGTGAACTTTTGTATTGTCAGTTTGATAATGTAACAAATCCTAGTCAGTCGCCATATTTAGGAAAACTGTTTTTACATTCTCACTGATTGTGTTTTTAGAAAAATCAGTCTAATATTAAGTGAAATTCAGTGTTTCTACATTATTCTTAACATATCAGAATGTCTAGCGAACATCTTATATCTTGGGATGAGGTTAGCATTGAATCGTGGGATGTAGCTACCACGTCTGGTAGTGGTTTGATATATACATATAAAGATTCGTAAGTATTTGTAAATATTTATGACAAGGAAGATTTAACCATATTAATAGATTTGAAGTATTTACTTCGCAATATATTGTAAATTTGTAATGTAGACAGACTAAATGGGACAAAATTATTTAATAAATTTTAAATATATTACCTTACATGTTAATTATTATTATGCCATAGTATGTGGACTTTTTCAACAATGGTAGAGGAAACAATAGTCACAAATAAGACTATTGTACTATTGAGTCTTCAGTATAAACAGCTGGTTATAGTGTTAACAGTTGCTAACCTCTCAATGCTTGAAATTCACAAGCTTTGTTTGTTCTTTTAATACAAAACTGTAATTAAGACCTCAATTACGTGTTGACAGCAAAATTGCATCCATCATATAATCAATGCATTAGGTGGGGGTGATCAAGGTACAATTTAATGTATACATTTTTTTGCATTTTGCGGATATTAGGAATTTTAAAATAAAAAATCAATCTTTTCTAATCATTCTTAGTAACCTAGTTCAAAATTTTCGAGCTGAAGGGATGCTAGAGATTGTTGCCTCCAATTGTTTAGTTGAATGCTGCGTAAAGAGACAGTTCTATTGTGCTGTTAGATCCCTCCCCCTCTTGATAGGTGGACTTATAGCTTATGGTGGGTTACAAACCATATATCATTAGCTTAATACTATTGGTGATTGGAAGATTGAAATCAGTGACCTTATGACAGAAAACTGGCACTTTACCACATAATTACGTAGGCCCTAATAAATTAATTTCCTGGTTCTTGAACCAAAGTTACAAGAAGTTATCGATTGCTTTTGCTGCTGAAAAATATTACCTCAATCTTTTGATTGTTCTATGGCTTAGAGAACAATTGCTCTTCTCCATGGCTTAGAGCATGGCTTAGCATGGCTTTGTAACATGGCTTAGAGAGTGTCTGTTAATGCAGAAGAGATAAAATGTGTGTGGGCGGATACCAGGTTAAATAATTTATTTTGATTTTCAACGTTAAAAAAATACTAAACCAATTCAACAAGTGAGAAATTGTTTGGTTACTGGTAGTTTTATTTGTATTTCTTCAAGATTTCAACTGTATGATTGATAGGACTATAAAAGTATTAAATCAATTAATCATAAAATTTGTTAAGAATGTCTTTCAAACTTCAAGCAAGGTCTATGTTGTATATTTGTATTGTAAATATAACCAATTATAATTATTCATAATAAGAATTATGCGAGTTCAATGTAATATAAACCATTACAGTACCAAAGCAATGAAAATCAGAAGGTGAATGTGTGTAGTATGAAAATAAAAAAACCTATTGAGCAAAAAAATGGTTACAATACTTAGGTCGTCATGGCACCCAAAAGACTGTCGTAATATATCAATCATGGTACTGGGCGAGTCGACATTTTGGTCCAGTAATTTTCTGCTACATATTAATATCCTCCATTTCTTCTCTGAAGAGGCTTTTTACCTGATGGTTTGAAACAGAACCATGGAGCCATAAAAGCTGCATAAAAGATGATAAATGCTTGACTATATTTCACAATTAACTAATGTGTGGCTTCTAAGAAAATAATATTAGATAAAATAGAGTAGTACTCTATTTTCAGTAAATTTACTTCGGTAAATCTGAGTGCCTATGGCATTTTCCCCCTTTATTTAGCAAGGAAACTGTTGGAACATAGTTTTTTTATCATATAACACAGATAGTACAGAGCTAAAAGTTAATAGAGAGCTTTATTATTAAAATAGCGAAGTGGAAATTAGGACAGAAATTGATCTGACTTAAGATCAAGCCGATAATAAAAATTTGGTTTGTCATGATTTACACCTTTGGTTGTCTCACATAGCAAACATATTTTTGGAGTTACTAGTTTTTGTAAGAATGGCTCCTCTCAAAAAACACAATTCTGTATAACAACAACCAACTGTTGCCGTTTGTGAAGTAAACTATTTTTATTATAACTCCAAAGCTAGAAAAGTTTTGTAGAACTATTGTTTGAAATATACTTAGTATCATTTTTTAACCTTTCTAGAATTGTGTGTTAGTTTATACACAACCCCCAAATTGTATTTAGTAAAGTTAAAACTTTACCACGGCCAGCAAATTAATAATGAATTGTTTCTTTCAGCGATGAAGAGGATGACCTGGAGCCGGAAAAAATTGTTTTGGGAGTGGAGGGGATGACTTGCACGAGTTGTGTCAACAGCATTGAAGGCAACTTAAAAACACAACCAGGGATAATATCTATCAAGGTAATGTTAAGTGCATGAACATGAAATAGCTCATAAATATATTATGTTGACAGGCGTAAATGGCAGGTTACAGACAAATAATTCAAATATTATACATTCTACGGTTTAAACAATTATTTTCAGTCACCTTATCATTCTTGGAACAATTTGTAAGTTGTATACACTTAATCTTAACAAAAAAGGGGTTACTCAGTGGTTATGTAGCATAAATAAAGAGGAAAACTAGGAGAACACCTAATCAATTACTTATGTAATCAGATTTTTTCTCAACAATTGGCTTAGTTAGGTTAATAAACAGAGATTAAATGATGTTAAATTATGAAAGTAAACATTTACAACAGTGAAAATTGTATAACTTTGGGGTTCTTACAAAACCAAACAGACTTGTCAGTTTATTTTCTCAGTTTATTACTAAGATATTGATCAATCATTTTAGCCTCTGGATTGCTTATATATAATCAAAACTGACAAAACTGTTTATTCCATATAGTATCAGTAGATTACAACAATAGGTGTGTAAAAAATTTTACAATTATTTTTTAACAACAGAAAAACTTAACTGGTTTTTAGCACTTCAATATCTTAATCAATTGATAATGTAAACTCTTACCTTAGCAATTCTTATTGTGGTTATCCGATATTAATTTCAGACCCGTAGGTCCATCTTCAGTCGGAAGTTTACCCCTAACCTCTGTATATTTTTTATGTCAACTGTAATGTGTATCGTGTTAAATGTCAACATACTTTCTATGAAACCCATCTGGTGGATCCTATTATAAGTATTTGGTCTCCCTAAACTTCCGACTGAAGATGGACCTACGGGTCCAAAATTAATATCGGATAACCACAATAAGGATTGCTAAGGTAAGAGTTTACATTATCAATTGATTAAGATATTGAAGTGCTAAAAACCAGTTAAGTTTTCCTGTTGTTAAAAAATAATTGTAAAATTTTTTACACACCTATTGTTGTAATCTACTGATACTATATGGAATAAACAGTTTTGTCATAGCTTATCCGGTGTGTTATAATATTTTGTCCCACTATTATTTATTGTGATATTTTATTTTATTACTTTAGTCACTGTATATTTTACTATACAGTGACTATAGAAGACAAAGTTTTTAAAATATTCTTTGAGTTTATAGAAGAAAAGTGTATAATTCCAACAAAAGTATTTGTTGCACCAAGCTAATAGACCATGAGTAAACAATTAAACAACCTGTAAAATGTAGCCCACTAACAATCTTATTTATTGGTTTTAGGTCAGTTTAGAAAATAAAAACGCAACAGTTGTTTACGACCCTGAGGGAACCAATCCTGAGCAAATACGTGATGCAATTGACGACATGGGGTTTGAAGCATCCCTTCCAGAAGCACAAAAAACTGTGGTGATTGGGATTGAAGGGATGACCTGTCAGTCTTGCGTGAACAACATCGAGTCCAACCTAAGCCAAAGAGCTGGAGTCATCTCGATCTCCGTGAGTATTAAGTGCTATGGATTTTATAACCCCTGAAAGGAAATCTTAGATAAGGTTTACCTGCTATTAGATAATTGTTTGCATAGTTTCAAAAGTAATTGGAGAATCACTGATTTTACTAGTGTGTCAAAAATGTTCCTAATTTAAATTTAAAAGCATTTAAAGCCATATATTTTAAACAGGGCCACAAAAAAAAAAAAAAAAATTAGTTTAGTTTAGTTTTTTTTTATAAATTATGTATTCAGCTAAAACAAGGAGTAGGATGTGTGCATCTCAGACTTTGGTGTGTTAGGGGTACTGGCCGATCATGGACATATTCACAAATATTTGAAGGATTTAGACTGCTTTCTCCTAAATTATTTTTGATTCTTCCTTACAAAGTTCTACTGGCTTAGACACTAAAACCCAAAGAAATTGTACAGTGTACTTATAAACTGCCATATTCTGCATAAAAAAATCATGATTTATTTATGTCGTTCTAGGAATTTTCCTTATTTGCATAGATTAATTATGCATATTTCATAATTATTTATGCCAAAAGGTTACTGAAAACACAGATTATTACAACATTAAGTTGAGTTTTTAATTAAATGCTTATTAATAACACATGTGCAATAATGATTTAAAATTGAAAATAGATTTTTAAATATAACAAGCTGTTCCAGGTTATGCAAAGACTTACTGTTTGTTATGATGAATATGTTACTTGAAGACCTACTTATTAGGCGCCTTAAAATAAGAAAATAAATAGCAAAACCTATAAATAATTAGAACACAGATGAAACCATTGTTGTTCGATAGTGAAAAGTATTGTGAATAACATATCAAAAGTCACCAAAAATATCTTTGGTGGAACACCACCATTTTTCCAAAATGGCGGCCAAATCCAGTAGTTTTTTCCTTATTATTGAAATTCTGACTTTCCAGTCAATATTGGTGAAAAGTCGTCAATACATTTAATGTTCCTCCTGATATTACCTTTAAAATGATACCAAATACATGTCCCTACAACAAAAAATAAACCCCGTAGAAATAATAAAATATTTCAAATAAAAATATTTTTTATAAATTAATGTAATAGTCCAAGCAAACTAAAAATAACGTACATAGGGATCGTATAAAAATTTGCAAGTAAACATTTTATGGTTTTATTTTTATTGTTGTGGTATGAAGAGTGACATACCAAAAGTTGCAAAAAATCAGTCCAAGGGAAACCCCCGTAATTAAGGAAAAAATGGCGGCTTTTCCCAATATTGGACAAATTTTGCAACAAAAGATACCACATGTTTTTTTGCACATTTTTCGAGATATTGACTTGGAACCACGACCGATATTTATTGGATAGTCCGTACTTAATTTCAATAGGGGACGCTTTTTGGGCCGCCATCTTGGATCAGCCATATTGGATCTGCCATATTGGATATAAATATTTTTAATGTAATTATAGTGTTGTGACACATCATTATGAACTAGATTTCCACGCTGATTTCAATGCTGAAATCAGTTTTTTAAATAGCGTTTTACGATTTTAAGGTATATAAAAACGAAAACTCTCCCCCATACATTTCTTATGGACGTTTCATACTTTGACAATTTAAAAACACATTGAAAACTACCACAGTCTAAAGTTGTACTATCAGGTTCAAGTATGGCGTGGAAATAGTTCACCAGCAGATCTAACAGATTGGGAGTGGTGTTTGACTGATGGTACATATGACTAACTTACTTATAAATAACTGTACTTATAAATAACTGTAACTGTGTAACTTGGAAATTATATTTAGATAAATATAGGATATGGCCTTTAAAAAATTTCAACAAAACGTTTTATGGTTTTATTTTGTAGTGTTGTGCAGAGTGAAAACGGGAAAAACTCGTCATAGCTATTCGTTCAAGTATTGACTTTTATTTTAGCTATGGATTCCTTATTGGGAGTTATTTAGAATTGGGGATAAATGTCTTTAACTAAAGACCAATTTCAAAATAACAATAATTCATTCAATAGTTCATTGAAGGGAGCGAGCTGGCGTAGTGGCTAGAGCGCGGGACTTCGGTCCGTGAGGTCCCGGGTTCGATCCCCGCCAAGTCACCAATGGATTTTATCTAAGTGATAATGCCGCAACCCCTAGGTCTAGCCTGAAGTAATGTGAAAAACAATCCCAGGCTCGTGCCTAGCGTCCTAGGACAAAAAAAAAAAAAAAAATAGTTCATTGAAGGTAGGCCTACATGATTCGTTTTAAATTTGTCATGTGTCATTTAATAATCAATAAAATTAAAGCCAAACATTTACTGAGTACTTTGATACCAGAATGAACTTGTTAACATATTAACAACCCGAGATATAAATCTTTTAACAAAAACTGATAAAAAAAGTTTAATTTAATTTTGCGTTGGGGTTTGTACCTCGTCTATAACTAGTCTGTTTTAACAATAAATAAAACAAAATGAAAGCTAACTAAAATGAAAGATCTTTTATCACTGAATATTTTAAGGCTAGAACGAACTGCAAGCATTATATGGAATGGAAGTGTATTATTTATTTATTTTTATATTTGAATTTGAAATCCATTAATTGTAGTTTTGGATACAATTTTAGTTTTTGTATTAATAATACCTGGAGAAAAATAATCAAACACATTTTCAAAGTAACTTACGATACGTCCATAACTGATGTATAGGGGAGAGTTTTCGTTTTAATATATCTTAAGCAACGAAAAAACTTATTTAAAAACGGATTTCAGCATTGAAATCAGCGTGGAAATCTAGTTCATAATGATGTGTCACAACACTATAATTACATTTAAAAATATGTATATCCAATATGGCTGATCCAAGATGGCGGCCCAAAAAGCATTCCCTATTGAAATTAAGTACGGACCATCCAATAAATATCGGTTGTGGTTCCAAGTCAATATCTCGAAAAATGTGCAAAAAAACATGTGGTATCTTTTGTTGCAAAATTTGTCCAATATTGGGAAAAGCCGCCATTTTTTCCTTAATTTAGGGGTTTCCCGTGGACTGATTTTTGCAACTTTTGGTATGTCACTTTGCACACCACAACAATAAAAATAAAACCATAAAATGTTTACTTGCAAATTTTTATACGATCCCTGTGTTTCTTTTTTTTTTTAGTTTGCTTGGACTATTACATTAATTTATAACAAATATTTTTATTTGAAATATTTTATTATATCTACGGGGTTTATTTTTTGTTGTAGGTACACGTATTTGGTATCATTTTAAAGATAATTTCAGGAGGAACATTAAATGTACTGACGACTTTTCACCAATATTGACTGGAAAGTCAGAATTTCAATAAAAAGCAAAAAACTACTGGATTTGGCCGCCAATTTGGAAAAATGGTGGTGTTCGACCAAAGATATTTTTGGAGACTTTTGATATGTTATTCACAATACTTTTCACTATCGAACAACAATGGTTTCATCTGTGTTCTAATTATTTCTAGGTCAAACCACATATTCAGGGGCCGATATGGGGTTTTGTTTCAAATAAATTATACTTGAACATTTTAAAACAATTAATTGTATGTTTGTAAATGCTTCTTAACAGGGCTTGTTACCAAAACTTAATTGTTATGATAGAAGATCTAAAAATATTTGGTTTTTTTATTTTTTTTCTCTACACCAATGACGTTTTAATGGATAAGGTACCTATAAACCCATCTAATTGTTGAAGTCAATTGCGTATTGTTCTTGACTACTTCATTATTTTTTATGTTTACAACTTAACAATGTCGACAAATCATTGGTTTATTTTATTCTTTGTAACTCAAATGAATGTCTTACGAAGTTACATATCTTGAATAAAGTTATTAATAATAATTCAAGAGGTAATAATTTCACTAGGCCATTTGATTTTTTTGTATTGAGTTTTCTATATATTTATTGTATCTTCTATAGTGTGGGAATATTTTCTTTGCCGTGTCAAGGATAACGATTGATTGTATTGGTGTTCGTTATCATGTTTTCCATAAGTGGCTGTTACTATGATCATAGTTGTATATTTCCCTGTTACAGATAAGAGTCCAAACTGTAATAAGTTTAACAAGGAATCTGAGCCAAGAGTAGAAGTTTTATTGCATGTGGAACATTTATATTTTTGATCTTATCATCTTTTATATTTTTATGATGACGATTTAAATGATTTATAACTAAAATTTACCATTTATAAAGACATGTATGGGTTTTTATAAATTTGTTGTGACAGCATTAAATTTTACTGAAAATACTAACGATGTGCCTATGAACTATTGTGATAATTTTTGATAGACATTATAAAATTAAATATAGGTACCCTTTATGTTATCTAAAATTAATTCTGAAATTATTGACTGAAATTCCTGAAGCTATATAAATGACCAATAGATTTGGATTCTGCGAAAACAGGAAAATGGAGTGATGAGTCGCTACCAAAACAGAATACCAATCCATGGCAGTGATGTCGTGGGTTTGTGTCCTGGTGCAGCCACTAAAACTTATCAGTAAAAGGCATTCTTGTTCTGTACAAGCTCACTCCTTGCTTTGCTCGATACATTCTAAGCATAGACCCAAGGCCCTATGAAGATATGAAGGGGCAAATGCATTTGTAAAAGAGGTTGTCAAACTCTTAATTAAAAAGAAGGAAATCAAGTCGAGCTTAAATACATTAAAATAGTTGTATCCTAAACTAAATTTTATCTTAACACCATTTATGTTGTGACTACAATGGAAATAACATATACTTAACATTTTGTCACTACAGGTAAATCTAGAGAAGAAGAATGGGACTATAGTTTACGATCCCAGTATTGTGGGCGTAAACGAGCTATTAGAAGCTATTGAAGACTCTGGGTTCGAGGCGTCTCTGCCCAGTGAAGATAGTCAATTACAGAGCTGTGTTATAAAAGTAGAAGATATTTTGATAGAAACCAAAGATTTAGAGAGTAAGTTTTTATTTTGTCATTATACTTTCTATCTACTAAGGCTGTCTTTACAATTTTGTGAATGTTTAGAAATTACAAAGTAAACGTGTTAAATATACAATAAGCTTCTTTATAAGTCAAATTGGCATAGCACTCGCATGGTACCACAGTACAACCCCGCTAATCCGTCACCTACGAAACCGGCACCATGGTCGGAACAGTGAAAATGTCGAATAATCCGAGGAGGCCAAATTAATAGATTAACTGACATTTATTTGTTTAGGGAAGACGATGATGGTGTTTCTATGACGGTGAGAGACGTTCAATATTTTGCCATGATCGCGAGAGACAATGATGTTTCCTTAACCGTAGGAGATATTTAAGAGTTTGTCGTGGCTGCAGATAAACTCCTAACAACGATATAGTATCCATTATTGCTGTAGACAATGCTGATGTCCCCTTGGTTAAGGAGATGTTTAACCCTTCCCAAGCGGCGGCCGGCTGGCGAAGCCCTATTCAGTAGGCGGACTCAGTAAGTGGTTGGGGTCAAAAAATAGATTTTGAAAAAAGTATGTTTTTTTACTTTTAATTAATAACAGAAGGCCATTATTTTGACTTTAATAAAAGAAATAATTTTTTTATGACTTTAATGATGATAATTAGCATGACGATTATATACGTCAAACGCTTGCTATGAGTCTCACGCTATGAGCGCTGTTACGTATATATTAGTCCTTCGCTTGTAAAATTTTAATCAGAAAACCTACTTATTTGTAATAAATTACAATTATATGTTATTATTAGTAATAATGTCGTAAATATAGCTCAAAAACATGGGTGAAATAAAAAATATATATATATATATATACAAAATCATCAAAATATAATTACTGGTACAAAAGTAAAAAGCATTAGATTAGTTTACATATTTACAGGTTGGTTTCAAAAGTCCATTTTAGTATGGTAGTCTTCAAAGCATTTATCAGGCAATCGTCATGTGTAGGAATAGAACCATCCGAAAGGTCGATATTATTGTCCCTCTCCGATATACTTTTATTTAGTAGCTCGATAATATCGTCTTCAAAATGTGTATCACTTGGTTTGAAAGCCATACTTCATAAATCACGCACACAAACAGTTACACAAACATACTTCGTTCACATAACCTCCCACTGCAGTAAACAGACAGCTTTAGTAACAACGACAAAGTATTGCATCAGCCACCACGCACGAAATAACTCACAGCTGATGCTAAAACAGTGTTGCCACCTGACAAAATGAAATTTACCGTAAAAATTAACAAAATACAATATACGGTATAAGAAATAATATAGAAACAACTTTCTGACTGCTATATTATGTTTGCATGTTTTGACTTATATGTTCGTTAAACGCTCATGAGCGTGGAATCACTTAACGTATATATTCGTTAAACGCTCGTAACGGGCAATATAGCCGAACGTATATATACGTCCAACGCTTGGGAAGGGTTAATATTTTGCCACAATCGCGGAAGACGATGATGATGTCTACATGACCGAAGTGGATGTTCAGGATATAACCGCGATCTCTGAAGACGATGATAATTTTTTTGTGACCGTGGGATTTGTCTAGGATTTCATTATTGCGGAAGACGATGATATTGTTCCTCATCCCATGGGAGATGTTCATATTTAGCCAAGATTGCAGAGGCTGAACAAGATTTTAGCCACGATTGCGGGAAACGGTGATGACCTTCCCAAGACCATCGCAAATAGTCACAATACAGTAGACTCCCTCTTATCCGGACACCTTTTAACCGGACGTCGGTGTAACCGGACGTCGGTGTAACCGGACTTTTTGCCTATGTACAAATGTAATGTGATGTAAAAAATGTGATGTAAAAAATAAATATACTCTGCAATAGAAATGCAGAATGGTAGTTAAGAACAAGAACATAAATAAATTGGAATGTTCAAAGATTTAAAGCTTTTAGTGAATAATGGTTTATTTAAGATCAGATGATGTCATTGAGGTAGTAAAATTTGTGTGTTCGACAACAGTTAAATCTAAGAAATATCAACATAAAAAATAATTGTAAGATTTTATCTTACCATTTAGAAATAATACATAGCATAACAATCATTACTTCCTAAGAATAATCAAGCAAAAGTTCTATAGAGACAGTGGAATATTTCAATATAACAATAGTAATTTTTGTATTAAAAGTATGTTTATTTTATATTATAGGTATCATATACGCAATAGAAGGAGTTGAATTTCTTGACATTAATTTAAAAGGGAAAGAATTAGAGGTAAAATACAAAAGTACAAAGACTGATCCAAAATCAATTGCACAAAAAGTGGAAGAAGCAGGGTTTAAAGCTACAGTTTTTACTGTTAATGGTCGTCCACCATCCCCGGGTAAGTATTATATTAGTTAAAAATAAATTACATCTGTTAACACTTTTGTAAAATTCATAGTCTAATGGTTTTAGATGTGATGAGTCGGTTGCTAAATTAAACAGTTTTAGTTTGGCTTTTCTTAAATTGGTCCTGGTTGTCGATTTTCGGTTTCTCGCTTTCCCCTTAAATTGCTTATAATTCAAACCCATTTTTTCTCTTTACTCATAAAAAACTAGTACACATGTTTAAAAATTAAATCTGTACCTTACTTCATGTGAGGGCTATTATATTTTGAAGCAGGATTAGATTAGACAACATACCCTACCCTCAATAATACGTTATGGTACAATTCCTATCTATTAGTACAATTCACAGTTGTCTTATTTAAAAATTCAAGGTTATTATTCAAGGCTATATTCACAAATTATAATGAGGTTGTAATTTTGTTGAATACAATATGGTTGGTATTGGAGACACCTGGGGCCTATTGCATAAAACTACAATTTTACAAGTTTACAGGCAAATTTCTGAAGAATTCTTCAGAAATTGTAATTACAGGTGTTGCATGAAATACAAGTTACAGACTTGTAACAACTACTCAAAAACACAAATTTACAGGCATTTTTTAACAATTTTACAGGTGTGTAGACTTGTATTTACAATAAAATTATTACAATTTTACATTTACCTGTAGAAATGTAAGATTTTTTTACCTAGCTTCTTTGGCCTGTAAACCTTTGTTGCTATTGTACAAGTTATTCTTTTTAAGACAAAGATGTGGAATAGTGATGATTCTTCTGATCCACAACCTTCAAACTGAAACTTAAAACTAAACAACTATAATATTTTCATAATGTTATAGTAAAGTGATGATGACATAGTCAAATAAGAACTAAAGCATTTATGATCACTAAACAAATTAGTTAACTATTGATTAACATTAATTTATTAGACTAAACACTAACTATAGTTAGTGTCTTTAGTGTTTAGTGTGTGTGTTAGTGTTTTAGTGTGAGCTTGTATGTTTTATTTATAAATAACCCTGCCGATCTAGCGAATTTCTATTTGTCTGAATTGATTTTCAATTTGCCTAAATCTATTTAAATGACAGGTTTAACGAGTACGTAGGTTTGCTGCTACAAGGCAACTAATAGTGTATTTTTCAGTAAAATATTAATAGCTTAGTACCTATAAAACAAATAAATTTTCCAAGTTTGATCAAAATATATCAATAAACAAGCAAACTACAACAACTTACAGCATTCTCCTTAAGAATAAAATGTGGAATTTAAAAAACTACAGTTTTTTTAATTTTCTCCGTTACCAATAACCGTACAAAAATACTTTGATTGACTAAACTATTTTTTTAGCTCTTTAAAAAGGTATAGAGAGAAATTGGGAAATGTTGTGTTTCGAAGGTCAAAAATTAGAAAACCATTTTTTTACCCCATAAAACCCTGTTCCCATGGTCCGATCATGCTGGTTCGCGAACTCGTACGAATAAACGTAGGTTTACACCTTTGTACAAAATTTCGTCAAAATCAAATAATTTTTGCTCGAGTTATCGCACTAACGGACACACACACACACAAATATATATGAATTTGGTCGGATGGTGTTTTTGGCCTCAAATCGAAAAAGTAAATCGTTCCCGGGTCTAGGTCTTACCATAAGACCTACGGTAATAGCTTATTCCCTATATGGAAAATTCGAATGACGTATGTGTAATTTTATTGTAAAATTGTAATCAGCTGTTTACAATTTTTGTACTTGTTCTTACAAGTATACAAATTATTCTAGCAACACATGTAACTGTTAAATTGTAATTACAGGGACCTGTAAACTGTAAATTTGTAAACTTGTACTTGTAGTTTTATGCAATAGGCCCCAGTATTGTCTACTGGTGTTAAATTAATATTTAAGAACATTAACATCTTCACTCATTCAGGATCTAGCCTGTTTACATTGGATACTGTTGTTAAGACTATTTATGAGATTTTTGTATTCTACTTAACCTACAACAGTTTTTTAATCACTCGATTATTAACAGTTAAAACGGTAAACAGCTGATTAGTGAAGTTCAAAGCATTACAATTTTACTTCTTTTTTCTCAACCTCTGAACCTCATTAATCTGTTACTCGTGTTGTTAAGTAAAACAATCCTTTCAATTCTCGTAGGTAAAGCAGTAAAATGAGTAACAATCAAAGTAATAAAACTTTTATGAGATTAACTATTGCCTCAACAAGTTCTTGGAAGTACTTGCCTTATCCTTGCTTGATCGTGAGTACGGGTTTATTGTCATGATAAAATATTAGGCCTCTTTTATGCACAACGTTTTCCGTCGGGCGGAATTCATTGGGCGTTCCGTTGGGGAGTTTTTTTTACATAGGATCAAATGGAACCCTTTTATGCCACGAGAGTTTCCGTTGGGCGGAATGCAGCACTGCGAACATACCTCTAGCTCTATTATCCTATTATCCACAATAATGGAATTGCCTAGTCATTGTAAATAAATGATCATTGTAATGGGTTAAATGGCACAAGTAAAAAGATGTAACTGGGAAAAAATTTACAGGGCAAGCATATTGAAGTTTACATTTTTTGTTTAAATCATTGAAATAATACAATCACTTTGCAGCACACCGCGAAAGTCCCATTCACTTCACCAAGTACAGGCGACCTCCCCCTTCCTCGTTGTATATTTTTCTTCACACACAAATTGCTCAAAACCAATAAACATGGGTCGATCTTGGGTAGGGGTGTGCGAAGCAGCAAAAAAATGTTGATTCGATGCAACTCGATTCGAAGCAATTCAGCATTTTACAATTCATCCTGGTCAATGGAGTGAATGAACAATAATCAAAATTTAGCACATTTGTATAATGCAAATTTTTGTTGATGTGGTATTAAGCCTATTTATACATGACAAATGAATTTTAGGTGAAAAAATATTTATTTTCAATCATAGGCCTATATCAGAAGAACCTGTATTGCTGGAAATATCAGTGAGCTGCTTTACTTGACTATTTCATAATTTTTACTTACAGAATCATTTTGTTAAGCATGTTACATATTTTATAATATTGATTTTACAAAGTAATAAAAACTTATTTTGGTGTAAACAAATAAAAACATTTGTAAGATTTATACTGACACTTTCAATTGGTTTGCATTGATAAAATGAGAGGATAGCATAAAACCTGCAAACTACAAGGTATACATAGCTTTAGACTAACAAAAATACAAAATTTATCAGTCTAAAACATCAATCTTGTTAGTTAAGTATGAAGTAAAAATTTTAAATACTTGTGTTATTTTTATAATGATTTTGGTGTCTCTTGTTTTGGCTATGTTTACTGTATTAAAACACATCTCACACAGCTTACATCAAGACAAAAAACAAAACCTCTCATGATTTGCAATGTCAAAATAAAAAATTGTAAAACAATTAAAGCAATATTTACATGCAAAGAATTAATTAAATAAGAATGCCTTCGCAAAGGTAACACAACAACAACAAGCTCCTGTATTGCGAGTATTGCATTGACTCTCTGCAGGCGTTTTTCGTATATGGATACTGACTCCCTCATGAAACGAATCGTTGGGTGACTCGTGATGGCCAAATCAACGAAGTTGGCAGCACTGGCAAGCCACACCATGGGCATCATAAAAAAAACCAGCACATTAATATGCCTTTAGTACTTTACTTAGTATGGACTTTTTTCCTCAAGCTTATCTATTCAAAATACAATATTAGTCACAAATTTGACTAATCTTGTACATTCTTCTTACAGGTAAAAAACAGAAAAATGATGAGAAAAAAGATGCCAAAGTTACCATATTCAGTGACGGAGATCTGAAGAAGTGTTCTCTGCACATATCAGGGATGACTTGTGCATCCTGTGTGGCAGCCATTGAGAAACATTGCTACAAGAAAGTTGCGGGTGAGTTTTGATGTATTTATATCAACAATTAAAAAAATAAAAGAGATACTGTACAGTGGATAGTAACCATTTTGAACTAAGAGCCTGTGGCAGAGAGATTTGATTAGATCTTTACGACTCTGACACACGAAGGAAGTGTATTTTATGGTGAAGATGAGTGAACGCTGAATATATTTACAACCCAACATAAACACTAGCTAGGATAGCTGTGTTATTGACTAAGAACAGCTGGTTTCATTAACCAGGATAATTTATTAAAATCCTTTGTCAAAGACAGCTGGGTCTATTTTGGAACCATTAAAAAGATCTGGACTTTTCTCAGAAACAGTCATTCAGTCAAGTATTGGTTTTGATTTGAGCATGCTTTCTCTTTATGCTTAAACAAGTTTCTTTCAAGTTTTTTTTTAAGTCATGCGGTCGGAGTACATATTTGAAATTCAATTAAACAGATTTATCAGTTTTTAAAACATGTTCAACACTTTGATTCAACTTCAACTGACTGTTAGACTAAATACTCTTCTAGATAGATTTAATTCTTCTCAGGTCAACTAAACAAGTTCAATCTCAATGTAAACTAACACATAAATCGTGCATTTCTAACTTTTATTCTGTTATTGTGATCTGTAGAATAAAGAGATAGCAGCTATCCTGCCTTAAGGAAAGTACAGATCCACACAGAAGAGACAGAACACTTGCCAAATTTCCTCTCCTGGGGGACTTTGTCAAGTGTAGACTATGCCAAGAAGACTTTGTATAAACTTTAATTTGCAAGTAGTATGGCCCACCTGGATTTTTTCTTAGGTAGGCTAGTAGGTATCTTTTTATTCTACAAATCAAAATCCTGGCCTGGAGCCTTTCCTTGAACCAAAACTTATTCTATCATGTTGGCAGGAGTGGAAAGTATTCTGGTGGCCCTACTGGCAGCCAAAGCAGATGTGAAGTATGATGCCAACTTGGTAAAGCCAGAACAGATTGCTGCCTCCATCTCTGATCTTGGATTCCCAACGACTGTCCTTGACGATGAAGGTTTGGGTGTTGGATCTGCCGAACTTAAGGTAGTTAAGATTTTGTTAAACTACAGTGGGATTCACACAACCGTAAACTAGGCATATTAAATTAGACTTACTCCTATTAAAAGTAGGGAGGTTTCTAACCAAAATTAATAATAAAAAAAAACTGACTAACTAAAACGAGCAAAAAAACACAAAACAACCTATCTCAGTACAGTTGTTTCTTTTAGATTGGAGGGATGACTTGTGCATCTTGTGTGAGCAAGATCGAAACCAACATAAAGAAAATCAAAGGAGTGTTAACTGCGGTTGTTTCGCTGACAACACAGAGAGGAAAGTTCACTTACGACCCAGAGTTAACAGGTCCAAGAGACATCTGTGAGGGTATCCAGAAACTAGGCTTCACAGCGGAACTACTTACAAACAGAGAGAGAGAAGCCAGAGGCTATCTGGACCACAGGTTTGTTTGGAGCCTTTCAAAGCACATATTGATTTGTTTTAAATTGCCTACGCCAGTGGCATTTTACGTTAAATAACTACTAACTTGGTTTTAAATGAAAGTGGTCCAAACCCATAAAACTTTTGTAGATTTGTTGGGTATTGGTACCAACATCTGAGATGATAACTACTGGGCTAGCAACACACTAATTTTAGAGAGCAGTTCCAAGTAATATAAGAAAGCTTACTACTATACTTATTACTTATTATTATACACCACATTGAGATACTACTTACAATCCGTGGTTATCACACATAGCTCAATGAAATTGTTATGACAATTATTTGTTGTAATTTTCTAACAACAAAAATTAACTACGCCTAACTTCAAAAGAAAAATTTTATTTAACCGGTCAATTTATCTTAACACATTTAATCCTTAAATGGTAATGTGTGTCAAAACTGTTTGGAGTGCACAAAGTCATTTTTTGTACATGCAAACGTTTGATTTACAATAACAATGCATGAGCCTTGAAAAATCTGTGTTTAAGGTTCGACTCCATCATTTTGTAATAAACAAATCCTGAGAAAAAAGTGCTAAGAAAACTGATTAAATTTACATTAGGATTCATCCATGAATCCATTAATTTAGGATTGCTTGTCGCCTTTGGAATTATCTCATTCTAGCCATTAAAACCCTTGATAGCCATCCCCAGTTTGTGGTAGTACTAAAAAATCTGTTTTCCGGACGTATGGCCATGTTTGGTATGTCCTAGGCGTGCGCTTGGTTGTTTACTGACAGGTGTGTGAGTTGGTGTGTTTGCGTGTGTGTGTGAGAGGTGTTTATGTAAAGTGGTAAATATATCAAGTATTCTACGTTTTAAAAATTTATTGTTTTGTTTTTACATTAAATATTGTAAATAGATTGTAGTATTGTAATGTATACGTTTAGAATTTAATCCACAGGTTAAGTGTAAGAGAGGGCCATGAGGCCCTAACATTGCCTGTTAAAACAAATCATTTTCATTTCATTTCATTTAATTTTTTCACCCCTAAGAGAAGCACAAAACCACAGCCAGCCTCGCAAAACGATGTCTGACTGGAGGCAGGTACCTTGTGGTGTTACTCAAGGATCAATACATGGCCCTTTACTCTTTACTATCTACATAAACGACATCAGTTCAGTTTTGCAACACGCCAAGTTTCATTCTTATGCTGATGACTTACAAATCTACGCTCACTTCAAAGTCAAAGTCAAGTGGTGAATGAAGCAATTACATCAATGAACGACGACATCAACGGAATTGTGGAGTGGGCAGCAAAGAATGGACTTTCACAAAAAATTATGCAAAATTATGCCCCGACAAAAACAAACCAATCATCATTAGCCACGCACAACAACTCAACCGACTTGACCAAAACTTTTTACCTGACATCACTATGAACGGTACTGTATTACCATACCAAGACAAAGTTAAAAGTCTTGGTTTGACGATACACAACACACTAGACTGGACAGACACGGTGGTTAACACCTGTAAAAGGGTGTTTGCCGCTGTCCACACACTGAAGAAGATGCAAAGACTTTTACCATTTCACATTTAGACTCTTCACTGATCAAGTCACTATTGTTTCCCCACATCAATTACTGTTAATGATTTGACCGTGGCTTTGGCAACAAAATTGCAACAAGCTCTAAATTACTGTACAGTAGACTCCCTCTTATCCGGACTCATCGGGACCAAGGCCAGTCCGGATAACGGTTTTCCGGTTAATCTGACGTCCCCAAAAACTTGTTAAAACAGACAGTTTAAATGCATACTGTATACAATATTTGACTTATATTTAAGTTTAAGAGAATTGTATTTGCATATCACTGGTCTCAAATCTTTCTCATGAGAACAGTTGTTTCAGTACCGCCCACTTCCTGCCGATCTAGTCCTGTTAAAATGATGTGCTTATAAACATTGTCTGGTTAAAGAGATGTTATTCCGCCGAGTTTAGTCCGGTTAAACCGATGTCCGGTTAAAAGGTGTCCGGATAAGAGGGAGTCTACTGTATATGGGTTTTGTATGATCTTCGACGAGATGATCACGGCACACCGTAGTACATAAGTTCTTCTCTCTTAAAACTGTCTGACGTTGGAGAAATACACATTACTGTATTTATATAACTCATTCGTCCATCAATCTCGAAATTCCAAATTATCTTGCGAACAAAAACTCCTCACCATAAGACAACTGTTTTTAATAGATCATTTACAGTAACAGCAACAGCATGTTGCCTTTGGAACTCCCTACCATTCACTATCAGGACCATAGAATCCTGTTCCAGACTGACGGCGGTGCTGAAAGCGTACTACCTCGATCGAATGTCCGCGGCTTAGCGGTATGGTGTGCGTTAGGCCTAGGTGTGGCAAAGAGTGAATGTGTGTGTGTGCATGCGTATGTTAGGGACAAAGATTTGTCACTTTAATTTTTAGATATTATTTTGTTTATAGCTCAAAACGTGTTATAAAAATGTATTGTTTAGTTTTTATTTAGTACATAAGAGGTTAACTGTAAGAAAGGACCATGTGGTCCTAATGTTTTCATTAATAAAAAAGTATTTTCATTTAATTTAATTTAAAAAGTATACTTACTTCGAAGTGTTTAACACTTGATTACCAGTTGCCTGGTTTATAAAGTGAAACCAACTTGTGTTTAAGTTGTTACTGACTAAATGAATCCTAAGTGGGAATAGATCCAATGTATGAGTTTAAACCGCACTTACTTAAATATTAAATATTTTCTTTCCACTAAACCTTATCTGTTCTGAAGCCGCAAGTCTTGGATCCCACCTTTATCAATCAAATCTCCATTAGTTGTTGAGGTTTGAATATTTCCCATGAGATATTAAACATTATATTCAGAATCATACTTTTGTTTTCAGAGCTGATATAAACAAATGGAGAAACTCGTTCCTCTTCTCCCTAATGTTTGGGGTGACAAGTATGATTACCATGACGTACTACATGTACAAGATGCATGCTGAACACCTATCACACAAGGATATGTGTTGTGTTGTCCCTGGCTTGTCTATGGAAAACCTCATCCTGTGGATACTCTCCACTCCAGTCCAGGTTTGTAATTTCTTATTTAATTTTTTTTGTCAAGTGAAATGTCCAAAACAGAGACAGCTCTTATTCTCCTAATCGCCTCACTTTTTTATGGAGTTTAAGGTGGTCCCTCCCTGTACAGTAGACTCCCTCTTATCCGGACATCTGTTTAGTCGGACTACACTCTGCGGAAATGACATCTCTTTAACCAGACTATTTTTATCAGCACATTGGTTTAACCGGACTAGATTGGCAGGAAGTGGGCGGTACTGAAACAACTGTTCTCGTGGGAAAGATTTGAGACCAGTTATCACATGAATAAATACAATGCTCTCCAAAATTTAAGTTGAATATCACAGGAAACGGTTTGTTTTAACAAGTTTTTGTGGATGTCGGTTTAACCCTCCGAGTGTTATGTGTTGTAAAAGCGACTCATAACACATCCGCTGTAGTGTTATGTGTCGCTTTTGCGACTCACTAACACTGTTTACGGCGACGGCTCTGGGTCTGACTGAATCGGATTGAACTGGATCGAGTTAGGTATAGTTTTTTCAGCAGATTCAGAGCTTTCTCCTGATGTCTGTTTCTATACGCTTTTCATTTTAGTTCCGAAAATATTGTAGCAGACAGCTGACGTGCGTATTTGTAAACAGCTTGGTTAACCTCGCAACGATGACTGATGTGTTTTATTACGTTTATCATTGTTTTAGTGTTAAAAATCAAAAGTAGTGATATACGTGGTGCATTATAAGAAGATTTAAGTGATTTTGAAGGGCTGGTTGATGATCCTGAAGAAGTAGGTAGTGTTATTGATGTAAATTATCAGCCAGATTCCTAGCAATGGTTAGGCTATGCATTCTTAGCTAAACACTATGTACCGAAATCTGTTTTTTGTCCACAATTTATTTATTTGCAAACCTACATCCATATATTATTATATTTTTGGAATCCTCATAAAATTCTGAATAAAGTGGCTATTTTAAAATATTTGTAGACCTATAAATTATAACAATCTATTGAGCGCAAACATAAATTTTTTTAATTTATTTTATAGCTTTTGAGAAATGTTAACCCCACAAAAATTGTTGAAAATTTTTTTTGTGATGTTTTATATGTTACATTGAAGCCCATTTAATTTTCCATCAAAATGATATATAAAACAGTATACTTTACATTGTTTTTAAGTTTCTAAGATACATTTTAATAAAACCCTGCGATTGCGCAATCAATGGGCGAATATTAAGACCAAAACTAGAGACACTCGGAGGGGTAACCGGAAAACCCGTTCTCGGACTGGCTTCGGTCCCGAGGAGTCCGGATAAGAGGTACTGTACTACTTGGTTACCATTTAGCAAAAGGGAACATGGACCTTTTCAAAATTGGAGTTCCATTCCGTAACCATAAGCCAGCTGTACCCCTAGCTTTTTTATGCTGTTAGCAATATTTGTGTTTTAACATATGTGGCCATTTAAATTTATTAAAAGTCCAGTGATCAAGGACTCTTGGGTCCAGTTTAAAAACATCAAAAGGCTAATACATTTTCTAAAGCTCAAACCCTGATTGCTAAGCAAGCACTGTGGAAAAGTATAATTGAATGTCTGGCTATTATCTTATGTTAAGACATGAGGAGCTTTGTATTAATCTTGGCACCAACTATAAAGCCACATTCCAACCCTTCGTAATGACAAATGTTACATGCAAAATAAATTACTCATCCTCTGTAGCTGGTTTGACATTAAGTTATCTTTTTCAGTTCATCGGTGGTTACCAATTTCACGTGCAGGCTTATCGAGCTCTACGCCATCATACGACCAACATGGACGTCCTGATCTCCATGGCTACCAATATTTCCTATATCTACTCAGTAGCTGTCCTTGCCATTGCGATGTTTCTAAAACAGTCCACAAGTCCCCAGACGTTCTTTGACACTCCTCCAATGCTGTTTGTGTTTATTTCTCTTGGTCGTTGGCTGGAACATATAGCTAAGGTAACTTTTATAATGTTTTAATTTGGGGGTGTGTCAGTAGTGATTTTTGGGTTCAAATCTAATCTAATTAAATATTGGTTCATAATATTCTTGAGCGAATATTTACATAATTATTATAGTCTGTTTGATGAAACATGTCTCCTGAACCTCGATCTACTTAAAAATAGGGATGGACGGGATTGAATTTTTAGTTCGGGACGGGATTTTTATTTCCTTCCCGAATTTCGGGACGGGACGGGACGGGATATTTTTCTGTGCATAAAAAGAATGTCTTGAGTATTGCAGTTACCAAAAAAGACATACAAAATCAATTTTTACCGTTTGTGGCACTGATTTATAAAAAACCAAAAAATGGGTAACAATTTACAGGTACCTATAGAAACTTGTGACTCGCGGTCGAAATGACTGGCGGTGACGGTGCGATCGTCAAAATGACCGGCGGTCACGGTGCGGTCGTCAAAATGACCGCGGTCACAGGGTGATCGTCGGAATGACTCGCGGTAACGGGGTGATCGTCGGTATGACTCCGCGGTCACGGCGTGATTGTCCGTATGACTCCGCGGTCACGGGGTGATCGTCGGTATGACTTGCGGTCACGGGGTGATCGTCGGTATGACTCGCGGTCACGGCATGATCCTCGGTATGACTCGCGATCACAGCACGATCGTCGGCATGACTCCGCGGTCACGGCGCGATCGTCGGTATAACTCCGCGGTCACGGGGTGATCGTCGGTATGACTCGCGATCATGGCATGATCGTCGGTATGACTTGCGATCACGGCAAGATCGTCGGTATGACTCCGCGGTCATGGGGTGATCGTCGGTATGACTCGCGATCACAGCACGATCGTCGGCATGACTCCACGGTCACGTCGTGATCGTCGGTATGACTCGCGGTCACGGTGCGATCGTCGGTCCAATAATCGCGGTCACGGCGCGATCGTCGTTATGACTCCGCGGCCACGGCGCAATCGTCGAAATGACTTCGTCTCCTGCGTTCGCGGACCTATCGCTCGCTATAGCGGCGTCATCGGCACTCGCGAAGCGGCAAAATCGCTGACGATCGGACCAAATCCCGTCCCGAAAAATTCCTCGAATCAAAGGTAATCCCGTCCCGATAATCGGGAATATTTTTTCCCGAAAAATTCCCGAAATTTCGGGACCCGTCCATCCCTACTTAAAAATGACCTGGTCCCTAAACCAAGTTCCGGTCAGGAACCAGGCAGGTTCCATCATACAAAGTATACAAGGTGTTCCGTAAGTAGGTACAAAGAATTCAGACATCAGGTTCAGAGAATAAATCATTCAGGTGTATCGGCTCAAAATTAAATGAAAATCAAGAATAAATTTTTTTCCAAAAATGCTTGGTTAGCTAAATATCCGCCATTTCGTTTTTTAAATGTATTTCTTAACTACTATTTAGTATACCTATATAAAACTTAGTATACACTTTTATCAAGTAATTATGCATTTATGAAAAAATAATCATTAGAAAATATTTTTCAGTTTCAAAATGGTGGCCATTTAAAATGTAAAATCTTAAATTACTAAAAAATGCCGGATTTTATGAAAAAATGCTAAGAACAATTATATTTAGCATCTTAAGTTTCCTATCAAGTACACAAATTTAAAAATATCAAATGATAAATAGCTGAGGAATAACGATTTTTAGTTGTACAGGCCAGAAAAAAGGCCTTGCAGTCAGGTTTCGCCTTATTTTGCACAAAAAATTGTGATTTCTCAGCTATTCATTATTCAATCTTTTGAACCTTAGTGTCATTTGATAGGGAATTTTAAATGCCAAATAAAAGTTTTTCTAGAATTATTTCATAAATCAGCCAATTTTAGTAATTTAAGTTATAAATATTAAAATGGCCGCCATTTAGAAAATAAAAATATTTTGTAATGATTATTTTTTTGTAAATACAGTATGACTTGATAAAAGTGTATACCAAGTTCCACAAAGATGTCTTTAATAGTTGTTGATAAAAAGGTTTAAAGAAAAAAAAAAAAATGGAGAATATCACACCAATGAGGCATAAAAAAATATTCCTGATATTTATTTCATTTTGACCCAATAAGCTTCCTGAATTCTTTGTGCTTACTTATGGGACACCCTGTATATCTACCAAAAGTTACCCAATCACAGACTTGGAATTTCAATAAGGTTAACCAGCCTGTATTTTATTTTTTATAAATCACTGCGTGGTTTCACTGTGTACCGAACCATGTAATGTATTTGAAGTACAATATTAATTGGAATTTACACCATCATATTCTCAAGTCACATTTATAATGATTATAATACATATATTGAAATTTTGGGAAAGCAGGTTCAAGAATGAAATAAAACAAGACAATACATGTGATTTTTTTTGTTGACATTGGGGGTTTATTTTTAAGTTTATCAACTATTTGAAACTGGAAACATATTCATTTATATTGAGTTGAGCTCTATTGCTAAAATGTTCGTTAAACTATTCAAACTTGTAAATATTCCCACACCTTTACTTTAATTGCCAGAAGAAATTGTTATTTTACCATTATAAATAAAGATAAATACTAGGCTGAACGTAAATGTAACTGTATTAATATTGTCAAATAAAACAGATCAACTGGCAGAAAACAGTTCAATCACAGTTTTAAGCTTTGAAGTTATTAAATGACTCAGTCACAAACCATAGCCAAGCATAGTTTTTCAGACTTGTGTATGAGAACGCAATATATATAAGAGTGTTTGTGAGTTCATAAGGAGTTTGTGAGAATTCATTGTGTACGACAAGACTGTAGTTTTACCAGTTACCACACCTTAAAATAAAAACATCAAACTATCAAAGTTTTTCACCTGGAATTGTCAAGTTTCAACCCCCCCCCCCCTCCCAATACAATGCATTTGTGATTTTTTTGAAACTATTAAATTTTTACAATTGTTTGGAACTAATAAGTAACATTGATGCAAACCGAGCAAATCTTAATTTTTAGTTCCAACTCCTATGTTATGTATGCTAAAATGATGTTGAAAGAAGGTCAACTAAACAAGAATACAGATTTATTAAACAAACATTGGTAAAATAAAGTATTACATTAGTAGTTACATAATTTGAATTCCATAGCAAAATTAGGGGAACAATTTAAATTTTCAACATGATTAGTAATACATTTATTTTGATCTTTTATTTTTATTTAAGCCCAGAAAATGGATGTACGTTTTTTATTTTATTAACTGCTCATGTTATTGTGATTGAATCAACGTTAACTTATATTTTTGTTTAAATATTCAGTTAGAAATGCTTCACTTTTTAAAGATTAATCAACTTTTTAAAGATCAATCAATTTTTTCCCTACAGTAAATCTTAGTAATATACTTTAAGCAATTTGTAATAGTATGTAGTTATATGTATTTATAGCCTATTTGACTCTATTCAATACCTGTTATTTTATGTATAGTGAATAAAGAATGATTTGATTTGATTTGATTGAAAGTTTAATTTTAAAGTGTATAATGAATTGCAGGACGAAACAAAATGGTAATGTAGTTTGAAATCTGAATCAAAAGTGAAACCTATTTTCAAACAAACTAAAATTTAAAATTTTCGGACAGTTTACAATGTAAAAATATTGCTTTGAGAACGTAGAATACTCATATAGAAGGCTGTTTACACTCATCCATAATTAATTACTCAACCTTTTACACACACTTTCCAGTGTAAGCCAGGTCTAATGGTCCTTTTAGAGTCGCCCACAGCAGTCAATTTGCTTATCTTATCCATGTTAATCTGTACTGTTAATAGCTGGCTGCTGTTTTATCTATTATCTCTTGACAACCACTTAACAGTTTGTTGTTTTAATTTTTAGAGACTTCAAGTAAAAAAAATGTTGTGTAAATAAAATAATAAATACCAAGATTTATTTGCATTGGGCTTCAACAAAATGCAGTAATGCTGGCAACAGCTGTGCTTTCCTTCTGTGAAACAACAAAATACATTTTTACTGGAAGATAAATAATATGTCTCACTATTAGCTGTACAAATTTTTTGATATTTTCTTCGTACTTTTATCTCTTATTAAAACGTTTAGGCTTCTGTCATTCCATATTTTTTTCAGTTTACTTGAACTATTCCTAAACCCAAGGGTCTAGACAATCTGAAAGCATAGTAAAGTGTATGTTCCTTAAGCCTGGGACATATCTTTCGACTTTTCGAGTACATGCAAGAGCAGCAAAATTGTTGCCTCTATTTATTCGCTATAGTGTACACTACAGTCATATCTCACGGAACTTCATTGTACTCAATCCATGTAGAGGCGGTCGGATAACACAGAGGTTGGACAGCCAAAGATAAAGATTCTACTGAAAGAAAAATCAAACAAGAAGAAATAAAGGGAACAAAGACGTTTCGGATAATGCATTTTTTTGGTTAGTCGAAGGTAGGAATTTAAAGGCTATGTCTATTCAAAGTGATCTACAACGGTAGTTATTTATGTTATTTTGTTGCAGTCATCAATTAAAAACTTGTTTTCAGAAAACCTATTTCTTAAAACAATTGAAAAACTTTTTCTGAATTTTATCTATATCATATCACGGTATGCAATCCATTTTGTCTTCTGCTCCATTACATTCCATTGGCCAAGCCAAACCAGCTACTTGTGTCACAATTTTTTGGCAGTAAATTCCTGCTGTCCAACTGATTTTGTAATCGATCCAAATTTTAATGATGGTTTTTATTTGAACGGTATGTGGTTAAAAGGGTTTATTCTCTATGAGCAAGCAGGGACACAGTAATCGTCTTTTAAAATTATTAAAAATATAATATTTATATACAAAATATCCACAATATAGTAGTGATAGTTATGGTAAAATGTGTAATAATATAATAATGTGTCAATCTAGGGGAAGACTTCGGAAGCCCTGTCAAAGCTGTTGTCACTAAAAGCAACTGATGCAGTCCTTGTTACTGTGGGAGAAGACTTTAACATTTTATCAGAGAAGATTATTGCTGTTGAAATGGTTCAGCGAGGAGACATACTTAAGGTAACAAAACGTCTGTTGTCTTTATTAATATTATTTGCTTAGTTTAGAAAAAGGCATATATTATTTGATGAAGTAAAATTACAAAAAATATAGGTAATCTCTTAACCATCTAACAGTAACAGTTTTACAAAAAAATCACTCCTGAGTAATTTGTTGACCAAACAATCTAATTGGTAACATTTTCCAAATTTACTAGTCAAAATCAAAGACTCATCTTTAGGTTGGAATGAACAATATTTCTTACCTAACTGTTTCAAAACCCAGCCCTATATTTTTATATTTTACTAGTTCAGCAAATTGTTGTATTTTATTGCTAGTTTGTTTATTGCTCAGAATGCTAATGCACTCTATAACTTAAAAATAAAAAATACAGCTTTACTTTTTTTAACTTTGATTGTTTAGAGAAAAATAATGCTTCACTAAAGAGAGTTAGAAAGTATACTAATTTTAGCTCTTGACCATCAAAATAAAATTTATGAAATTTTTTATCGTAGTACAGCTGCTTGGAAATCTTGTTTGAATTATTTTGGGTTACCCCTTTCTTATGTTTATTGTTGTTATTGTTTATTAATAAGATTCAAACCAGTACCCCCATAAAAAGATCCTACACTTTAAATCCATGACCAGCTATGCTCCACCAACTCAATTTATAAAACAGCTTCAGAAAATTTTGAAAGTTCATAATCTTAAATTTTTTATACAACAAAGGCCTCACAAGATTAGTCTAAAACCTTAAATGTAAATAAATTAAATAAATGTTACCTTAAATGCAGGTTAGTTTCAAAACTATATACACTATACAGGGTGTTTTTTTAAAAACTTGCATCTTTATTTATGTAAAAACCGCAATAGATAGAAATATGCAATTTGCGGGAATCATCTATTGACGTAGGGGGCCCAATTTTTTTGAATTCAACATTACATTCACATCCCCCCCTTTCCCCCCCCTGCCCCCAACTTAATTTTTTTAAATAGCAAGGTACCCCTTGTGACATATTAAATGAAAGAGCATAAAAAAAGAAACTGTTTGATGAAAAAAATTTTTAAATCGGTTCATAAATTTGTGAGATATTCCCCCCCTCCCTCCCAGGAACTTAATTTTTTTTTAATAGCTAGGTAGCTCTTGTGACATATCAAATGAAAGAGCATGAAAAAAGAAAATGTTTGGTGAAATTTATTTTTCATTTGATATGCCACAAGGGGTACCTTGCTATTAAAACAAAAAGTTATGGGTAGGGGAAAAGGGGGGGGGATTATTTCACAAATTCATGAACCGATTTTCAATTTTTGTTCACCAAACATTTTCTTTTTTCATGCTCTTTCATTTGATATGTCATAAGGGCTACCTTGCTATTAAAAAAAATTAAGTTCTGGGGAGGGAGGGGGGGGAATATCTTACAAATTTATGAACCGATTTTCAATTTTTTTCATCAAACATTTTCTTTTATTATGTTCTTTCATTTGATATGTCATAAGGGGTACCTTGCTATTTAAAAAAAATAAAATGGGGGCAGGTGGGGAAAGGGGGGATGTGAATGTAACGTAGAATTCAAAAAAATTGGGCCCCCTACGTCAATAGATGATTCCCGCAAATTGCATATTTCTATCTATTGCGGTTTTTACATAAATAAAGATGCAAGTTTTTAAAAAAACACCCTGTAAATTGTTTAAGAGACTTGAGTTGTTCAATCAGTGATTATGTTACTTCAAGAACATCGTTATGGAATTGTACCTTGGTTACTGTAAAGTAAGTGCTGCTTATTACTGTTTAGTAACATTTATGTCTATTTTATATCATAGGTAGTACCAGGTGCAAAGGTTCCTGTTGATGGTAAAGTTATCTTCGGAAATTCAACATGTGATGAATCCCTTATTACAGGAGAATCTATGCCTGTTGTCAAGAAGAGAGGTATGGTTTTCAGGTTTTTTTAAGTTACTCTTAAAATTGTATAGTGTTTGCTATGTTGTAAATGTAAATAAATAAATGTGTATACATTTTTCCAAACAATTTTAATATATAATGTATCTAAGTATGATTGCTATTCAGAAAGTAAAGATTGTTTTGTAATAAAATAAAAAGTTTGTTAGAAAAAACATTATATACATTTAAAATACTGACTAAAATGCTACTTTACATACTCACCAAACAAATCAAGGCACTTATCATAGCAGTGAAAAGTATTTATCATTTCTTAAAATTCTTTTTCTTTTTAAATTTATTTTTTTGTCGTAAAATCTGCTGCGTGCGAGCTCAGCCACCCGTTGACGTGCTATTGGAGCCCTTCATCAAAGTGCTGTGATGATAACCAAGTATTCCTTTTTGAAATAAATTAACATCACTTAGAGCAAGGTCTGGACTGTTGGTTAAGGGAAAATCTAACATTTGAATTAATGTAGGAGATCTAGTGTGAAATTTGCTGTGTGGGGTCTGGCATTGTCATACTAAATAAAACTTTGAACGTCAGGTTCAGTTTAGCTACAGTATTTTGATTCTAAATGTACCTCATTTTAGGACAGAACTGTAATTTATTACGTATTAATCACTCAATAATCATGTATTACTCACATTAAGGGGCAAGGGGGGAGGAATGGAGTGATCAAACAAGTAACTTACCCAAGAAAAGAGTTTCAGGCGGTTGAGAGCACACACAATATTCACACAAATTTAATACATATTATTTTGCCTATACAAGGAGGAATTTTCATAAGGAAGTAGTAAGTATTTTTCCACTACATTCTCTTGAAGAAGTCCTCTTGGAAAGAGGAAATATTTAACTAATTGTTATGTGAACTTTTGTGTGCTACCAACTGCCTGGAACTCTTTTTTAAGGTAGGTTAGTTTTGTCCATTTCTCTTACTTTTTCCTTAATGTATTCGTAAGCCTATGTTTTTTTCCAGGGAGTGCTGTGATTGGTGGATCCATCAACCAGAATGGCCTACTCCTGATGATCACCACTCACACAGGAGAATCCATGACTCTTGCACAGATAGTAAAACTAGTGGAAGAAGCTCAGACATCCAAAGCTCCTATACAAAAGATAGCTGACAAAATCGCTGGATATTTTGTGCCAACTGTCATTTCCTTATCAGCTCTAACTGTTATTGTTTGGGCTATTATTGGTCATTATAGGTTCAACTGGCTACCCCTTACGGTAAGGGTTCTTTTTATACTATCTTTTGTTTAATGAGATTATTTTTTATGTACTAACAAATATACTAATAAACATATTTATTATTTTTGTGACTGGGAGAGAGATAATAGCCTCGTCATTTTTGATAGAGGCAAGGTTAATAATTAGGTACGTAGTACGTACAGATACAAATTTCATTAGAGACACAAAATAAGTGAATCGTTGAGCTAATAGCTTTAACATTCTAAGAAAAAGGCGGAATTAAGATCAAATCTACTCATACAAATGTAATTTGAGACATGTAACAAGTAAATCAATAAACATAGCTTATTTAACAAAATTCAATTAAGTTTGATGAGTAAATAAAATAACTATACTTTTTTGGTATGCAAAGCTATTTAAAGTTTGGATATTTTAATATTTAAAAATATAACTAAGCTAATATAGCTATAACGAAAAGCTAAACCATCTTCTAACTTCAAGTTCAATTAATTGAAACACCCACTTACTATCCTGGGTTGTTTTAAGAGAACCATAGTAGCCTACAGGTGAGCTTGGACAGTAGTTGAACCCCCAAACCAATGTAAACTGACCAGGAGAAAATGCTTGCTTAAACCCTCCAACTGGCGTGGTAGGGGGTTTCTGTTGTGGCAGCGACTATGATAGTCGTGTTTTGTAAGGTTTTGGTTAACTCTAAATTAGGTGAAGTGATCCTACCCTATGAAAATCTTTGCAAAACGACATTCATATTGCATTTCAAAAATAAAGTTATGCTGCGTTAGGTGGGAGCTATATTTTTTATGCTGCAAATTTTTTTTAGCCAATGGATACTGAGGGATTGAACACAGAAGAGATCATCTATCAGTATGCATTCCGTTGTGGAATCAGTGTTCTGGCTATAGCCTGTCCCTGTGCCCTAGGATTGGCTACACCCACAGCCATCATGGTGGGAACTGGAGTTGGTGCTACCAACGGAATTCTGATCAAAGGGGCCGAACCTCTGGAGAACTCTCACAAGGTAACATAATCAGTTGTTATCCAAAAATCTTCTTTTAAGTTAAACTTGCCTGTGAAACCATCAAAATGAGATCTGGAACACAGTTAAAACCTCACTAATCGAGCATCCGATAGTTAGGCACATTCAATAATTCTACCTAGTTTAAATTTTTTCTTAAGATTGAATAAGCCTTCTGAAAACGATCATTAGAGTTTAGGCGCGTTTTGCTGAGATTGGATGTGTTCAACAGATTTTACGGACGATTGACTTACTTCTGTAAATTGGCCTGGCACCTGTTAAATGCTATTTTTCATAATTGTAGCGGTATTCTTACTTACCTTTGCATTAACGGCCATTTTGAGACGGTATTCTCAAACCGCCACCAATTCAATTCTCATCCTCACCAGCGATAATGATGAAGAGCTAGAAATACAAAATAGAATAAACATAGCACAAAAAAGTGTTTCGGCCTTTCACAAGTTACTAACTTCAAAAATAATATCCCACACCACCAAACTATTTATAAGACAATCATCAGACCAGTTCTCCTGTATGGTTCAGAAAATTGGATCTTAAGCAAGAAATCAGAAAGGAAAGCTATTGTATTTGAGAACAAGATTTTGAGGAAAGTGTACGGACC